TTGCCGCTGCCAGGTCCTCTGCAGCTTCACTGTTGTCACTGCCACTCCACGGCGCTGCCAGCGTCGATGGCTCGCCCCCTGACTTCAGCGACGTGCTCGCCGAGCACCGGCTAGACAGCTCGCCTGCCCGCACCATGATCCTCGTCCTCGTAGTTTGCAGTGTGCAGAGGGACCGGACGGTTGCTTTCGTGCTGTCGCAAAACAGAAGAAAAATCTGGAGTGCAAGTGTCGCGAAGCCGGAGCCACTGTGGTTACCAATGTGCTGGTCCGCGATTTCAACCTCCAAGCTGCAAGGCAGGATGAGCGGGGCATTGAGGTCATTGCTAATGGACTTCCGTTGTGGTCGCCGGTTGTTGGCCCGAGCACGAGCACGCACTGCTCTGCCGCTGCCTTCGTTGCCATGGTCGGGGCAGCGGCTCTGTCCTTCGCTACCAGCTTGCTCTCCTTGCCAATCGCCAACAAAGCCATCGTCGATGACGGGCCACCTTTGCTCAGGGACGTCCTCGCTCACTCTGCCGAGTCACCTCCACTTGCCTACCACCTTGCGTAGTGCGCAGGTGGGCTTTGCACCGCCGGGCCTTTGTATGCCTCTGTTGCATTGGGACCGCTGCAAGCAGCCGCCAGTCCCGACGCTGCCTCGGCTGCCCTGCTGGACTCGCAGGCTGGGCCTGATGCTGCACGTGGCGTGCGACCCGCGCGCCAGCTTCACGGCAGACGCGCGCGACGGCATGCTCCAACGGCAATGCGCGGGTGGCGAGCGCGGTGCTCCGTCGCTCCTTGGCATGCGTGCGGAACATTTTCGCGTGTTGCTGGCTTCGACGCCTGGGCAGCTACACAGACCAGGCGGCAGGCTTCGAAGTGTTTAACAATAACGCATGCCGTAACATGCTCTATGCCGAAACTGCCACGGCTGTGTGCCAGCTGCCGTTCAGTCGCTTTTTTCTGGGAGCCCACGGAGGGCAACTCTGGTCGCAACGCAGTCGGCTAACGTGTCTCAGGAAGCCACGCGCCCCGATCAATGGCATTGCAGGCATGGGCATTCACGGACTGGCCGCGCGGGCTGCGATTGCAAGTGGTGGGGTTGGGGAGGCTAGGCTGCGCATGTTGCAGCGCGCCTTGGCATCGACGCTCCTTGAAGGCCTCCGTGGCGAGCGCCCGAACAGCCTACTGGCGACGAGCACATCCGTAGCGCTCGCCGAAACCGAGCAAACCTTCATGTTGCCGCTTGTCTTCGAACGTATGGAAATGCTTTGCCTGTGGAACGACGTGGAGGAACATCAATGTCCACACAACAGCGGCTTTTCCATTATGACATCACATCTTGAACCAATTGTATGCTTCTGCCGCTGGTGGAATGGCCTCATCGCGGCGGTTGCGCAACGAACGCCGACGCCCGATTGGCAACCGCGCCGCGTCCCAGCTCGCCGGTGGCGGTGGAGCGGAAGGCACACTCACTGGATGGGCGCGGATGTGCCATGCGCACATCTGGTCCCGCGAACAGCACACCACTCATGCAACCCGGAGGCAGGATTGGTGACGGCGATAGTTCAACAAGAGGGGCGGATCGGTTGTTGCGTGTTTCATTGAGGGTGATTTGTCGACAACCCAAAAACAACAAAAATGCAAAGGACAACAAAAACAGTTGTATGTATGTATATATGTAAATATGTGTGTATAAAATCATAGGAAGCCGCAGAGCCAAGCTGCGAGGCAGCCAAGCTGCTTGCCATCAGCCACACCAGGAAGGAGCTTTAAGCGGGGGAATCAGGGCTCAGAGAGCTTGGAGATGCTTGGAGTATGAGTGGCTTCGGTCCTTGCACCGAAGGACTGGGACTCCAGGGGGCATCTTGCGTCAAGCGCAGCACCAGACGTAGCTTTCTTCCAGGCGTAAACGTCACGTGGGGTGGATATGAACTGCGTCAATAACGGTCAATAACTGCAGACCAAAACGGGCAAACATGCCACATCAGATCACCGAGTCAAGCGTTCCAGCAATGAACGCTGGGCTTGACACACACCTGCCACGCAGTGCATGACAGCAGGCCTACAGTGTTGCGCGGGTGCTGCGGCGAGAAGTGCCCATGCCTCGTCAGACAACTGCTCCATGTCAGCAGCTCTTAGCCCAAACAATTGGGAACGGTGTGTCCTTGCCCGTCGCCACGGTACAAGGAGCGGGCAAAAGCGCAGCTTCAACAAAGCTCCAGACAGCTGCTCCACATAGACATGCTAGGCGTCAGACCTGTGGCGAGCAGAACGTCCATCAAAGAATGGGTAATGGCCACACCAAGACTACACCAAGCCCATGTCCACTCAACGAACTATGGAAGCGGACACACGTCAGCTATGAACATCTAAACAAAAATTCAGTTTGGTTGTGCTACCAAGAATGTACCGACGACGACTACATCAGAGCCCTGAGCCCTCTTTTTTGCAAGCACAGATCGTTGCGCTTGGCAAACGTCAGCAACATGCGTGAGCGAACGGGTCTTGCCTATGCAAAACAAAAATGAACTGCGACACTGTCATCAGAAATCAGGTCCAAGTCGCAGTACCGAGACTGCAAGCGTTGCAAGAATGTGCGCTTCCAGTGCGCAGCAAACCCACATAGACATGGGTGATCCACGTTGCGATGACTAGCAACGCAGCCATCGACGAGGGGATGGTGTCCACGCCTGGCTAGCGCCCATCCCTGCGCCACCGAGGACGGCAAGCGAGATGCATGGATGCAAGGTGAAAAAGCCAAGTGTGGATGAGATTGAACAAAACGGGCGATAGAAGCAAGTTCCTATGCCTCAGCCCTCCGCAAGCGCAAGCCTACTCTCTCAAGGGCTGGGCGTACGCAACGATGTCCCCAGCGCTGCAAAACCAAGACGTCACTCATTACCTGAGTCTAAACCGAGCTCATCAGGCAATGTCACACTTGCAGGCCTGGTTGCGGAAGTGCAACACGGCATTAACAAATTGTGCTGCTGCCCTGGTCGAGCTCGAGAACGCCGACTTTATCGCAAAGCGCGGTGCGTTGTGCGATGACGGAAAGCATGTGCAAGGCTACTTGAATGACCAGCAAAAAAGCGGCAAGGTCTCATGACGTCTGATGGAGTTGCCTGGATGACGGGCATTACACCCCTCACCGCAAAGGTGATGGCCGCCGCGGGCCAACTCGCTATACCGAGCATGAACAAGAGACACGTGCCGACGGCAACCATGTCGTTGCGACCGAACGGCGCCGCCAACGTCGATTGTTCACCGGCCTCGGCAACGTGCTTGCACAGGCACCGGCTCGACAGCCCGCCGGATGCCAATCGCTTGCCCGCGCGGTGACAGGCATCCACAGCCCATTTCTGCTGCACGGAGCTTCTGGCCACCACTCGCGCACTGCAGAATGCACAAGGGCCGGACCGAATACGTTTCGTGCCGTTGCAGAGGGGTGTGTGAACCGGCAGAAAACGATTCTCACTGCTGCACCCTCTGCCACGAATCTATCTTGAACTTACCTTTTACTTGTGTTCCTCCCCACGGGCGTACAAGTGCACACGGCGAGCAATGCTGGCACAAGAGTGGCAGGGCGGCTGCTGATTGCTGCCCGCACGGGGTTTTCGGCTCGGACCTAATATGCGCACCGATTCAGCAATAAACATATGACCACTGTGTAACACCATGTAACACCACATGAATCACTGTGCACATTATGGATATACGATAAACTGTAGCGCGGCATGTACACCGCAGGTGCCTGCTTCACGAGGCCGCATAACGTGTAGAACGACACGGCACATCGGCACGGCGAAACAAGCACGAGCTCGGTGTAAGTGCGATGTTGCTGTTGCAACGTGACACAAAAACAAACGCTGTGACGCTCTGTAAATCGCCTGGCCGCGAAGTGCCCGAACCCACCAAGAACGCGGCAATCACGCACGATATTCGCAGCGTTTCGAACCACAAAGTCGCGGGCAATGCACATGCCGCCTTCCCCACAAGCCAAGCCGTGGCGATGCCTTCACCTCGTTGCAGCATCACACCTTGTCCGGTAGGCCGCTCGACTGAGCACTGCGCTCGCTCTGGCCCCAAGTGGCCATGTATTTGTCATCACATGCGATGCGACTCCACAGAGCTCTGGCGGTTGCGATTGCATTTCACATTTTCCGTGGTGGCTATAGCAGGCCCACGCATTGCCGAACATGCAGACGCCACATGACACAGGCTGAGTGCTGAAGGTGGCAAAACACTTTCATTGTCCAAATACGACAAACCCTGTACACAAAACAAAACAGCTCAAACACCACACGTTTCGAAAAAGGCTGGCACAGGCTGGCATCAGCTCCGGCACCCAATTGCCAAAAGCCTGCCAGCTACCACTGAAAGATTGATACCATCTTTCTTTGCAATTCTTTGCAAGCGCTGATCGGCCACCTCTTGTCGGGATTTTATCTTTGCGAGTATCACCCTGCCTCACGAAAGAGAATCAGCGATCCCAGCCAGCAGCGGTTGACCGTGGGTGCGAAAACATGTGAAAGACCCGTTTTGCACAGCGCATGGCAACAAAACAGCAGACCCAGAACAGCCCTGGCACGAAGCTCAGGAAACCAGCGGAGTGACAACATACGCATCCTTGAGTAAAACCTCGAATCTCCCAGTCTGCAACAGTTTGGTGCCCTGTACTTGCGAATCCGCGTTGAACAGCGGTATCACAGTTGCTCTCAGATCCATCTTGCGTGGGTGGAAAGCCTTTGAACCTACCCGACTGTCCAGCCTGATGTCACGAAATCAAGCATCGGTAACACTCCATGGTTTTTGTGCCCGTGAGGCCGCCTTATCAGCTGCGGCGCCGTGGTGTTGGAGATCGTTTTTCGCCGTGTTGCTTTGCTTAAGGTCCACTGCAGCAACGTGTTAGAAGGACAAGCTTCCGGTCTCCAACACGAGCCTAGGGAACCGCGGGATCCAGTTCCACTCATGCGTTGTGATCTCGAGTGACTCCGACACATGATGCAAACAACTCCTACCTAATGCAAACTCCCGCCACGACTAGATGAATGCTGCAAATATATACACCAAACACTCCGGTTGCAGCTCGAAAACCGCTGATCAGCTCCTGAGTGTATGTAGCTAGGGGCAAACCTTCCACATGCAAACCAGTCACGCCAGGACCTTGGCTCGGTCGTTACTTCGGTCAGTGAACTGCTTACATTGCGCCTCACAAACGAAAGCGTGTCCGCAGAACGGTGCAATCGCTGCCAAGGAACTTCACCTTGCCAAAAAAGCGAACATGTCGATGTTCTGGAACACCGCTCTGCATCGCATTTGGATCTTACTGCATTTATTTGGAGGTTCTCTGCATACTGATGGTCGGGAAGCTCGAAAGGGCTAGCGACAGTCACTTCAGCCTGGTGCCTAGGACAGCTTCTGATGTGACACGTCTTTGCGTGCGCAGTACGACGGAACCGTAGATCTGTTGGGACCGCCCTGCTCACACGAACCCATTGCCTGGAGCCGGGCCGGCGAGGGATGCAAAATTCACGCATGAAAAAATTTCGGCAGGGACGCTGTACACTTCACCAGTATGATGCTGTGTGGTTGCGTCGGCTACCGTCATCCCTTCTTCGTCACTCGGGAGAGTCTTCCTCGGACGTCTTGCTCGTCCAGGCTCCATGCGACCAAGGGCCATGATTGGAATTGGACTTGACGAGACTGCTAGAAGATGGTAGAAGCCAGCTAGCTGTTCGGCGGTTGGAAACATTATTGGGCCGTTGGACGTTTGTCGTCTATCTGCATGGCTTCGCCCCTTGAGTCCAGGGAATCAGACATGTGCAGGCTTCCAAATCCACGAAGAACGTGGAGGGACATGCAACTCCAACGACTGCAGCAGGGTACCCAGCATGCAAGCAGAACTAGTGACTGCTCGCAGTCTGCAAAGGTATATGACTGTATGCATGCAGGCATGATTTCGGGGCCATTTACAGCCGCAACACAGATTTCACAAGGCGAAGCACAATGAAACCTGTGTAATGCATCTCTGACACTGCATCCGTGGGGGGCTCACCGGAGGGACAGTACCGGGGCGGTCAAACTCGTCCCTTAGTTGTACACTCACTATCGCACACTCGCCGGCCCCCTGTGAGATGGAAATAAGCCGACACCTGCCATCAACACCCGATTTCATGCTTGGCCTCACATGCGGCAGAAACCGATGTACCAAGCTTACATCTGCACGGATCTGGTGACAACCGAGTGCGCGGCCGCGGTCTCCCCTGATCATCGGAACTAAATTCATTGAAATCCGTGAGGCAATCTGCATATAGGTGCTTCTGCCCGACGACACAATTGTCTTCCATGGACGAAACACGCTAGCTAACCACCGACAGAAACCTGAAGCCAGCCTTGATGCCGACATCACCTTTCCGGGATGACCAAACCTGATTCTTCTTGCTGTTGCGGTTGTTACGATTGGGGCTTGTGCTCAACGCGTGTGCTGCGAATCTGCACATCTGGCAGCCTTCAATCACGCCCTGAGGTGCAAACAACACCCGGGCCGGGCGTTGAGGCAGCAGTTGATGGCGTTGGGGCATCCCCTTGATTGAACACATCATACGGACACATGTCGAACGTGTGTGTTGACGGCCGCGGCCTGGCGACATCTTCCAACCTTGGCCTTTTTTTGCCATCTTTCCTGACAGCTACAACAGCAGGTGGCGACCATTGACAAAAGAAGGTTTTTAGATACTTGCCTTCTGGCACTCCATTGCCCACAACACACAGCACAGCAGAATTGTTGCAACAGAAGCATGTCTAGTATGAAACGCTGATCTCAAACACAAACGCACACACACACAACATGCGAGGCTTGAAAGGCAACAACTTATTTCACAAAACTCATGAATGACGCCTGAAACCTTAAACATACTGGGAAGTCGCACATGTGCCATGGTTTGAGCCGATGTCGAAAGGTGCCGGTTGTTGGACTTTAGAACCTTCTCAATACATTCTCACTTTATAGCTCGAGTCTACATCGAAAATATTCTGTCCACAATCTCGACCCCAACACCGGGGGGGGACCAAACCTCTAGACCGGGGGCTAGGAAGCGTAGGCGCAGACGACGAACCTATCGCACCTGGCGCCGAAAGTGTAATCACCTTAAGCTAAATGGAGCGGACTCCCCTTTAGCTGCCCCCACGAAGTCCACGCCTTCAGTTGAAAAACTAGAAGTGAGGGCCGGGGCCCAGAAAGTACAAAGGCTAGTTAGTTGATACCTTCAAGTTGAAAAACTTGCATGAAGGAACACAGATTGGGGGGTATGATGCTCACGGAGACCAAATCTACTCCGATTATTCCTATACGCCGGATCAGCATCTCGTCACACAAGTATGCAAGAATCGCGGCCATTGTTCATTCCGACCTCAGACCATGCCTTTCATGGTTCAGGGTCACCAACAGAATCATCCATCTCACCTTCAAAAAAGAGTGTAAAGTGCACGTAGGGCTAGATTGTGATCCAGTACGGGCCCCCTATTGGGAGTCTCTGGTCACATTTGACCTTGACCTTATGCAGAAGTTTCGTGTGTGATGTCACGCAAAAACCATTACCTTCACGCGAGCCACTCAGAGCCGACTAGACCACTGCTTTGCTGGATCTTTGAATGGTTCATCGTGTGGGTTGAAGCTCCATACAGGATGCCCTTCTGACTGTTACCTTCGTCTAAAAGAGGTTCAGGTGTTGCTCTTGCAACATGGCAATGTCTCAACTTGGATCTTCCAAAGTTTTTGTTTGCAAAAAATACATCAAAACTCTTTGCAGCGAATGTCTTCTCAAAACAGTGGACACTAACTGCAGGTCGTTCAGCGAAACTGCAAGAATTGTGGCATGGTTCTGCTGTGAAGCCATGTTTAAGTCTCACCACTTTGCAAAAGTTGCAAGCGTGCAAGAACGCTTCGAAGCAAGTTAACTTTTAAGCTTAAGAACCGACTGTTGTGTTGCTGCGTTTTCCAAACTCCACATGCTTGTGCGTTGTATTCTCGAGATGGACTTTCACGATCGAAAGCCAAGATTTTGCTTCCCAGTGCACTCAATTTTGGGAGCGAAAGCATCGATTTTTGGTGTGCGAGAGTACCTTACTTCGCTTGCATACGGCGATCTGGCTGCCTGCTTGCATTCATTTCCATGTGCTGTGCACCTTCAATGCAATGATGCATGCACTTCGTGATTCTTGTGCACGGAGCGAGACGGTGCGGCGGCCTTCAACTTTTTTCCCGAAAGCGTCGCGAAGGGTTCTTCCGTACGGAGCCGGGTAGACGAGTACATAGATGACAAACATAGAATCGAGCACATGACCTTATGACTTGACACTTGAGTCTACGTCTCTATGACCCTATGACTCTATGACTCTAAGACCGAACTTGACTACTCTTGACTACTCTATGACTCTATGACTCTATGAACTTGAGAACTCTGTGACTTACTCACTTGACTACTCTATGACTCTGTGACTTACTCTGTGACTTACTCTGTGACTTACTCTGTGACTTACTCTTGACTTACTCTGTGACATACTCTGCGACTTACTCTCTGACTTACTCTCTGACTTACTTACTCTCTGACTTACTCTCTGACTTACTCTCTACCTCTCTACATACTCTCTACATCTCGTGACTTACTCTTGACTTACTCTGTGATTTACTCTGTGACTTACTCTCTGACTTACTCTCTGACTTACTCTCTGACTTACTCTCTACCTCTCTACATACTCTCTACATCTCGGTATCTAAATCTCTCTTCTAAATCCAAGGGTGGCACCGTCGTCGTCCATCGGGAATGCTTCCCAAGGATTCGCCTCCTCGGGCGCCCAAACGCTAGGTAAAGTTACACATTTTAGGGTTCCCGCGCAACCCTTCCCAGGGATTCGCCTCCTCGAGCGCTCAAACGCTAGGTAAAGTTACGCATTTTAGGGTTCCCGCGCAACCCTTTTGAGGGATTCGCCTCCTCGAGCGCCCAAACGCTAGGTAAAGTTACACATTTTAGGGTTCCCGCGCAACCCTTCCCAGGGATTCGCCTCCTCGAGCGCCCAAACGCGAGGTAAAGTCACACATTTTAGGGTTCCCGCGCAACCCTTCCCAGGGATTGGAACTCTCGAGAGCCCAAACGCTAAGTAAAGTTACACATTTTAGGCGCCCGCGGCAACCCTTCACAGGGATTCGCCTCCTCGGGCGTTCAAACGCGAGATAAAGTTACACATTTTAGGCGCGCCGCGCAACCCTTCACAGGGATTCGCCTCCTCGTGTGTTCAAACGCGAGGTAAAGTTACACATTTTGCGGGCGCCGCGCAACCCTTCACAGGGTTTGGGCGCAGCTCAACTGCATTTTGCAACCCTTCACATGGATTGGCATTTTGCAACCCTTCACAGGGATTGGCATGGTCGAATGCACGAACGCTAGGTAAAGTTGCATTTTTTGATGTGCATTGAGATGAATTTTGCAACCCTTCACAGGGATTGGCGTGGTCGAGTTTTCGAACGCGAGGTAAAGTTGCAATTTTTTATGTGCATTGAAATGAATTTTGCAACCCTTCACAGGGATTGGCGTGGTCGAGTGTTCGAACGCGAGGTAAAGTTGCAATTTTTTATGTGCATGCATTGAGATGAATTTTGCAATCCTTCACAGGGATTGGCGTTGTCGAGTGTTCGAACGCGAAGCAAAGTTGCAATTTTTGATGTGCATTGAGATGAATTTTGCAATTTTGCAACCCTTCACAGGGATTGGCGTGGTCGAGTGTTCGAACGCGAGGTAAAGTTATTACTTTTGATGTGCATTGCGGTGAAACTTGCAACCTTTCACAGAGATTGGCGTTGTCGAGTGTTCGAACTAGTACTAGTACTACTACTACTACTACCACTACCACTACTACAACTATTATTACTACTACTACTGCTACTACTACCACTACTACAAAAGAATACTACTACTACTACTACTACTACTACTACTACTACTACTACTACTACTACTACTACTACTCGTACCACAACAACAACTACAACTACTACTACTACTGCTACTACGACTACGACTGCGACTACGCGACGACGACTACTACTACAACTACTACGACTACCACTACTATCACTACTACTAGTACTGGTACTGCTAGTACTACTACTACTACTACTACTACTACTACTACTACTACTACTACTTCTACTACTACTACTACTGCTGCGACATAAAGTGACCATGCATAGAGTCATAGAGTCACGTTGAAACCACAGTAATCAGGGATGTCTATATAGTGAGGTTCCGGAGCCAGGAAAGGAAGACTTCTGCGTCATGTTGGACTATGCCCTAAACCCACTAAACCTGAACATTAGTGTTCATAGAGTGAACTACATCAAGTCAAGTGCGTGGTACATAGATGACTCCATGACTCTATGACTCTTTCTCACTCTGACGCTATGACTCTATAACACTATGACTCTATGATTCTGTGTCACTGTGACTCTATGACTCTATGACTCTTTGAACTATGACTTGTGCTTGACATGTACTCGACTCTATTTCTCGATGACTCTATGAACTATGACTTGTACGACTCTTGACTGTATGTGACATTCCGACTCTGTGACTCCGTGCTTTTGACTCGGTGACTCTATGACCCTATACACTGGATTCTATGACGTAGCGCCACACTCTTCGCTGATGATGCTTTCGGGCTAGTTGTCTTCTAGTTTTTTGGCGTCAGCGGGCCTCGTTAGCTGCAGCTGCAGCGGTCCCAGTAAACTACGGATAAACAAACAAACACACACAAGAAAACAGCAATGAAACGGGGATTACGACCTGCTGCAGTGTGCGGACTTCGTCAGCATGGAGCTGTTCAGCCAATTTTTTAAAAAGGCGCGCGACGAACGCATGCCCGTGGACAAAAGGTCCAGATGTTCACCTGCAGGCAGATAGCAAATCACCGGAACATCGTTGACCATCAAGAGAGTTCGAACTCTTGAAACTGGATACGGTCTGGTTTCTCGTGGCCCAGTTTCCAGAAGTCCGCAAAGTGACCCGACACGCCCTAGAGGTCTCGCTGACATGTCCACTCTCTGTCACACAGAGAAGGCGAGAGAGGAAGTGGTAAAAGGTCAGCGATCGGTTGGAATCCTTTTGCACCAATCTTTCCGGCAGTGCGCAAAGTCTTCCCAAGATCCTCTGCAACATGTCCTGGTTGATGAGCTGGTGCGCTGCCGCCGGCTGGTGCCCATCGCGGCGGCTGGTACGCAGACTGCGGGCTGCACATCAGCATGTAAAAAGTGTAGGTGGCAGGTCGCCGCACCATTCGGCCCAGAGAGCCCACGGCCGAGAACATGTGAGGCGGGCGCCATGGAGTGGGCCTGCGGGCCACCATGGGCCGGCGGATCTACGGAGTCCCAATTGTCAACTCCACCCGCGCGTTCGCACCGGTGCCTCTCAGATCTCCAGTGCTCGAAAGCCATTCGTCCGATAAGCAGCTTAGGCAGCCATGCCGAACCAGCCAGCACAGAAGAACAGCCGCAACCTCGATCCTCGCGATTTTCTTCCGCAGGAAGTCGCGGCACAGGAACGAGCTGGCGGCGTTGAAGCTCCAGCGCGACCAGGGCGTCGCCAACCGCCGCCACATCACCGCGGAGACCGACCGAGCGATCTTGTCGCAGCAGGCCCTGGCCGCCACCGCGGAGGAGTTCCGCCGCGGCACCGCCTTGCAGCAGCACGCGGACAGCCGCTTTTATCGTTCGAAGATCGTGCTTTGTGTTTTGATGTCTATCATGTTTGAACCTTCAGGGATAAATGCTTGCACTCGCACATGCCACATGCAAGTAGTTCAAAGCTCGACGCTATTTTCACACGTTGGGGTAGCAAGTACCGCACACGGCAGAAAACTTCGAACTGTCGGTCCTGTGAGACACAAG